ACCATTGTATCATCCAGTTGATGCCGGGATAGAGCAAAAACGGTGTCAACAGCTTGTTCATGAGAATGCCGATCTGAAATGTCAAATAGAGCATGTTGGTTTCATCTTAGAATTTACTCTTTTTTGAATGGTATTGTTTTTAGACCTTATTTGAACACGGATAGTTCGATTTTCTTCTCTGAAGAAATTTTAATTAAAATTATTTTCTAGAAGGAAAAAAAAATCGCAGATTATCAACAACGTTTGGGAAAACATATTCAAGAAACAACTGGCATTCCACTTCGTGAACGTTTATGTGGCAGCACTAGCGATGAAAATATAACACAGTCATTTCCAACTGCACTCACAACAACTGCCTTGATCGAAAATTTGCCAAGCGAAAATATGGGTAACATCTTCAGACTTAGCAAAAACAAAAATTCCAGTTAACAATTTTTCTCTTTGATCGAAAGGAACTTCCCGAAAAGGCTTTAGCTCTAGTTTTCTTCAAATTACTCCGTCGACTTTTTGGGAAACGCTGTGGTCTGTTCCCTTATTCAACCTGTTGCAGTATAGCTCTTCCACTCCCTAGACATTCTAAAAACATACAACGCACCCTCAGAAAAATTAAAAAACAATTCCCAACGAATTGTGCTTTGAAGCTCGATAAGGCAATTTCTCTTATCCAGTTTGAAAAATGTCCACTTGGCTTTTAAATTTATAGCTAAACACAACAGTAATTATGAGGAAGTGGAAAACGAAGATACATCATCGACGTTCAGCGAATTATTTTTATAATGCTTCGTTTTTTCTATAAAATTTAAAAAACTTGTCGCGCAACATGTTAATTTTAACCGTGGAGCTATTATTTGCTAATTAACGCAATTCTAAATTCATACATATTGCACAGAATAACCGTGTTACTTTTTATGAAACAAAATATATGAGGGATGGAATGGAATTTTCATCTCACACCACTTCATAACTGTGTGTGTAAGTACTTCCAAAAAATTATGAGGCGATTAGTCAAGTCTCGAGACTCTCTCTTTCTTTATAAGTGGAGGTAGCTTGCAATAAATTACATGAAACTATGCTGGAAAACTGCGACAAATTAGGTCTTTTAAGAAGCATTTTATGATATATGTAAGGACCTGAACAACATTTAATGAATGAGCAGAAGTACGCACAAATCAAATTCAAACAAGAAAATGCGACACTGTGATGATACGTCAGTGCAGTTGAGTGTAAAAGGAAAATTAATGAAAACAATGTGTAGCCACCTGAACATGGAAAATTATTAGAAAAATGAAGAGTTATCTAAAAAGAAGTTCAATAACAAACCGTTTCCTTAATGTAAATTAAGCGTTTCTTACACCGAAGAGAATTTAGCAAACGGATGTGTGACACTGCAAAAACGTGCCAGCCATTCTCTTAACCAGTAATTGAAAGAACTTATGCAGTTCCTTTTTTATATCTCACTATCTTATAATTTCCACAGGGGATTCAATTCAGTTTAAATCTTGATTTAAAAACCTAAAGAAATTCGATGTCCTTAATTTTGACTACGAACAAACTATTATGTTAGGCAAAGCTAAGCAGGAATAGATACAGTAGTGTGGTGTAAACAACAATCAAAAATGAACGAGAAGGAGGAAAGTTAAAAACCAAGCAAAAGTGGTTATTACCAACCATGTACAAAGCGCAGTGCAACAGCTGGTCGGTTTGCAAATATAAGTGTTTAAACAGTAATAAAAGTGTTACGTCGAAATATTTCCGAAATTAAAAATACACTGGCATGGATGTCGATTTGTTTGGAGTATTACTTGTCCATGCCACTTTTGTTGATCTGCACTGTTCAATCCATTATTAAATCAAAACCGAGTATCAAAAAGTGTTGCGAGTCGCACTGTAGTGCCACTACTGAAGCCGTTCCGCGATCCCAAACATCCTGAAATTTTACACAATCCGTTATTTTTGACTGAGATATTAACTTGAAAGAAAAAAAAAAAAAAAAAACAGGACCACATAAATTCAGTATGATGAACACTATGCCTATGCCAGTCAATTTTTTTTTAATGTGTTAGTGGGAAAAGTGAATCGAATGTGGGAAATTGTAATATGCCAGTCAGCAAACAGTACGCGTACATAGCTTTCATTAAGTGGAGAAATATTTTTTATAAAACTAAATACTATAAGCTTCCAAAATAACATAACGCTCGTAATTCAAACACCGAAATGAGCCTTCTGTGTTATTAGCAAATGCACTACTAAAACTTCACGGCGATTCATCAAATGAAATCAGTCGTGCAACCGTACCCTTTCGTACGAAAGGAATCTAAAAGAGTTTAAAAGCATTAAATCTTTCTTTACTCATTCCTTTATCCAAATGATCGAGAAAAAAGTACTGTGAGATTATCCTGGTATTTTCACCTTACTTACAAAATCAAACAACCTTATACCGCTTCAACACATTTCATCAAAAAAACACGCGACCAAGAAAACTTAATCCAAATCAGCAAATTAGTCGAACAGTCTCAAATAAAACAATTTCATGCTTCTTACTGTAAAGGTCAATACAACGAAACATGTCAAAAAGTAATTACAATCCTTATTTAATGGTTAAAAAAATCAGCGATGCATCCAATAGAAATAATAAGAAAAATAATGGAAATATAAGCTATACAACACAACACATGGATTTCCGCGTAATACAAACACCTGGAAATTCGTCTACATAAATCAGTTGGGTAAAAGTTTGAAATTTCATGTCACTAACCAAACGAAAAAACCTTCCCCTAACAAATAATGAGAATTGTGCATATATATTTAATGGTAATAACTAACCGACTATTACTTGAACTGCTAAGGATGTAACAATCGACCTGAAACGAGTGCAGTAATATCCCCAAATTTCTTTGTTAAGAGAGCGATAATAACATGATCTACTGGCCATGAGTACAATTCTGATAACTTACATGACAAAAGTGCGCTCGCGTCATGCGATAATTTCATTTCTCACTGGCCTTTTTTGGATATGAGGCATAAGAGAACGAGAAAGTATGAATATATCAATACATGCCCTTTCCAGTAAAATTGAAAAAGAAAAAAACTTAGCAGCAAACTGCAACGACAATAACAGAAATAGAAGAGAAGAAATACTAGCGTCAACGGCAACCGATGACAATTCATAAGAGAGTGACGACCACGGGCAAAGGTAGAGCAAGGCAACAACAAAGCTAATTCTTCTTTCTTAATCCATGTGAAAAATTTCAGTGCATCATATCAAGCAAACGGCAGTTCATCACATACATAAGTTGCAGTTGATAATAAAACAAACCATCGTACAATTCAAATGCTAACAAAACCGACACTACTGATATCAGGCTGAATGTTTTCAGTGCATTTATAATTCCTCCTCTTTGTCGTTTTCATGGACTCCATGAATTGCAATCTTTTCTGCACATTTCAAGGAGGTCAATCAGAGTGAAGATAATCTATTTTTTCTTAACGCAATAAATGAAAAACCTTGTGATAGATTTTCTCCTTCTTTCTCCAAATTCAATTGATTCTTTCAGGAAAAAAAAGTTAAATAATTTGCATTGTGAAAAATCTTAAAACTTTCACATATTATATTCGCACTTTCAAACTTAAAAAAGACTCGATTTCGAAACTCCATCACAAGATTTTCATTTATTTCATTAGGAGAAAATAGTTTATCTTCACTCTGACGGACTGATGTTTTTGAACTATGCAGAAAGAATAGAAATTCATGGAGTCCATGAAAAACTCGGTTTCACTGCTCTACCTCACATCACAAACCATGAACACATTTTCTTTCCTAGCTAAATGACGAATGGTGCATACATTTACCACAGCTATTCGTTAACAAATTCTACCAAAAAAAAACCCCACTAAATTCGTGCAGTAAGCCTCCAATATTTATATCATAAAATCGCTGATGCATTGATCCAATTCATTCATAATACGAAACACTCCTGTATCATCCGCCAACTACATTAATCATCTTTCATTCATGATTACCTCAAACTTCGATGAATTCTTTACCAAAAAATATCTAGAGAAATTTCGTAAACAAAAAATGCTATGTAGCGCACCGACTTTTCGGTCAGCGATCTACTCTGATTCATTTTATGCTAAATATTTACACTGGAAAAGGACTGAGAAAAAACGCCTCCACGTCCATGAGTAAAACATAACGAATGAATCCGCACTTCCTGCTCTTTTATAATTTTCCATGGACAATAAATTTCAAGCTTATTTCAGAACAGTATAGCAGAATTAGTGACGTAAGAAAGAGATGGAAGGGAACCAGGCAAATAAGTAGAAATGTATGTGAAACATGCCATGCGTGCATGCTAGCAATCTTGTTCCAAAAATCAATAAAACTTGTGTTCTTAATTTAATTTGACATCGGTCACAGGTTGAGAACGAAGATACTGATAATGAACAAATTCAATCCTCCAAACACACTAAATCTGATCACCTACGCCTATTTGTCGATTTCATTTAATGTAACTAACTCGAACTAATCAATAATCACATTTTCTCATTATCTCCAATGTATCATATTCAATCAGTAAAAAAACTTCCGAGTATAATGAAACACGACAAAGCGACGTTATTCGCTGTCTGTAATAAATCAGTCGGATGGATTAAAGAATAGGACCTGATCCCTTATTTTGTTAAAAACAATCTAGCAGTACTTTCAAAATCAACTTACATGAAATGTTCATCCCGTTTCAGCAACAGAATTCGAAACTGCAACGCCTCCAGAAAGCACTAAAAAATAAATTAGGCTGTGAATACATCTGAAGATGTAAATCCAACCGAAATACCGCTGAAATTAAGGATGTGACTGAGGTTGTTATGACAGAAAAGATTGTAAAAAAGGGACCAGCGGGGATTAGTGAGTATGAGATAGAGAATACGAAGAATATAAGAAGGAAAATGAAAATGTAAGAATGACAGGAAACTTGGTCTCAAAAATTAAAGTCTTGAGAACAGGAAGATGCTGAACTTTAGGAAAACCAGGACGGCAGTGATGATAGCCGTTGTCCGATATGCTGACAACCAGCTAACCACACTGCCACCCGGTAAATCCCCGTATTTGGAGATTTCTGGTCCTCGTCTCGCTTTGTATTTGTAGCATAAGTACGCTGAAACTTAGAACAACTTTGGAAACGACCAGCACTTACGTACTTATGTGGAAATGTTATACCATGACCTAAGATAAACCCGAAATGAGGATAAGTAATGAGTGAAAAAATAAAAAAAAATGAAATGAGGATAAGGAACTGGAGAAGCAGAAACAGAAACGAGAGCGATGACACATATGTGTCTACAGGTATGGAAGGGTAGTGATAATAATAATAGTAATAATAATGATAATAATAATCATAATAGTAATAATAATAATAATGGCAATAATGATAGTAATGATAAATGAATGAATAATTAATTATTATTATTAATAATAATAATAATAATGACGGTGATGTTTGCCATGGAGGAGGAGAGTATAGCCCCTCGACAACGAGTGGTGCTCGAAGAGTGAAGTACTTGTGGTGATGAAATGGGGAGAGAACAAGAGAGATGGAACAGAAAATATTAACAAGCGCCACCCATCTATCCCTACTACCCTTAACCCATCAATAGATGACAGCCAGGCAAAATGGAAAACAAGGTTTTTTGGGAAATTCGAGAAAAGTGGTGATGAAGTGATTGCAAGAGATAGCTTGCAACTAATAATCAACCATTCAACAACCATTACCATTTCAAGATCTCATCTGTTACCTTGCTGCTGGTGAACTGTTATGGTATCGACCCATTTCCTTCGTGATATTTTTGGGATAAAAGCTCACTTCTGTCAAACCGTTCTCTCTAAATGAGTTGTCTTCTTCAATGATACTGAACATGTTTGCAATAAGCAAAGATGTCTCGCAAGGCAGAGATCTTTCTGATGTGAGTTGCGTCCAAATTATCAATAATATTTCACTCCAGCCATTCATTTTATACTATTAAAAAGCAAAAACTCATCATCTGCTAACAGCATTTCAGTTACGTTTCTCTTCATCAAATGATATGTCGCCAACAATCCGGTTTACTGCTCGAAATCCACAATAAAGTCGGCTTGCAAAAGGTTATGAAGAGGCAATCAATGGAAGTCCTGACTTCTTTTTTTTTTTCTTTTGAATTCAAATTCTCGCACAGAATTTCCTTGCAAAAGATGTAAGACCGTTCAGTCGGTCTGCATACCAGACAGGTGCATTTACAATCTATGAAACGACAGGCTGCGCACGGATCGACGCACGGTACGTGAATTATACCATGGTGATATGTGGAGCAAACTGGCGATACCCATGTGAATGGCGCCTCTGGCATGCAGACCGTCATCGGTACTTCTCCGGTGTTTCGTATCCTAAGTAATTTTGCACATTACCAATATGTTAAATTTAAACTGCTTATACCGTTGAACCAACATAATTCAACGATCATTAACTGCATTTGATGAGCATAATTCTTCCAGTAGTGAAAATGCTTCAGCAAAATAAAATTACAAATGATTGTAGCACCATGTTTTTCAAATATCGTATCTGAAAAATGCCTTCATTGATAGCAAAGTACAAGGAATGTGGTCAACATTATTGACATAACAGGAGCCAATTTGTTGAAATCTTGAAAATGATATATAGTTCAAAAGATTTGCTAAGCACAACTTGAAACCTTCGCAGACTTCACGAGCTCTATAAGGTTAAAGATTGAAACATCTTTGTTTTTTACTATATTATGCTATTATAGAATTTGTCTGAAAGAATCCAATTTTTAACTTCCTGTGTCTTATTGAAACTTTAAACTTCGACTAACTAGGCAAATTTAACTTAAGAATCAATTACTACGTAAGAAGTAGTCGCAAGGATGCTTGTTACTGTTTCGATGAAACATTATTTGCATAGTAAAAAGATAGAAATTTTTGATTTTAACATAACGTATGAATGAAATAAACAAAATAAGGTGAGCAGTGAAGTTTCGAAAGCTTACTTTGAACAACAGTATAGCAGCAGATTCTAAACCATTAACATTTTCTAAACCTTTCGCAGCTCACATAAAAACATTCATACACGACCACAATCATTGATCACTACTACTGTTTTGTTATCACCATTTATGCATCTCGTTACTCGTATACTTTGTATTTATATGCGCCTATCTATCTAATCTATCTATCTATCTATCTATCTATCTATCTATCTATCTATCTATCTATCTATCTATCTATCTATCTATCTATCTATCTATCTATCTAATCTATCTAATCTATCTAATCTATCTAATCTATCTAATCTATCTAATCTATCTAATCTATCTAATCTATCTAATCTATCTAATCTATCTAATCTATCTAATCTATCTAATCTATCTAATCTATCTAATCTATCTATCTATCTATCTATCTATCTATCTATCTATCTATCTATCTATCTATCTATCTATCTATCTATCTATCTATCTATCTATCTATCTATCTATCTATCTATCTATCTATCTATCTATCTATCTATCTAATCTATCTATCTATCTATCTATCTAATCTATCTATCTATCTATCTATCTATCTATCTATCTATCTATCTATCTATCTATCTATCTATCTATCTATCTATCTATCTATCTAATCTATCTATCTATCTATCTATCTATCTATCTATCTATCTATCTATCTAATCTATCTATCTATCTATCTATCTATCTATCTATCTATCTATCTATCTATCTATCTATCTATCTATCTATCTATCTATCTATCTATCTATCTAATCTATCTATCTATCTATCTATCTATCTATCTATCTATCTATCTATCTATCTATCTATCTATCTATCTATCTATCTATCTATCTATCTATCTATCTATCTATCTATCTATCTATCTATCTATCTATCTATCTATCTATCTATCTATCTATCTAATCTATCTATCTATCTATCTATCTATCTATCTATCTATCTATCTATCTATCTATCTATCTATCTATCTATCTATCTATCTATCTATCTATCTATCTATCTATCTATCTATCTATCTATCTATCTATCTATCTATCTATCTATCTATCTATCTATCTATCTATCTATCTATCTATCTATCTATCTATCTATCTATCTATCTATCTATCTATCTATCTATCTATCTATCTATCTATCTATCTATCTATCTATCTAATCTATCTAATCTATCTATCTATCTATCTATCTATCTATCTATCTATCTATCTATCTATCTATCTATCTATCTATCTATCTATCTATCTATCTCTCCAATCTATCTATTGAATTTATTTATCTATTTATTCATCTAATCTGCCCATATATATATATATATATACATATATATTGCTTGCCAATAAACTTTGTTAATTTCAAAACTCTACACTGTCATATCGCCGCTAGTTGCAAACCGATGCGTTGTGGGTGTCGATATGAAATACACGACGTGATCTGTGCATATGTATAGTTGTTATGAACTCATAAGATGCAACTTTGAAATTATGTTTTAAGATTAATATGTTATTTCCAGTAATTGTGGACGCCTTCATACAGAAGAATTGATTAGGGTCATATTATTAGCTAGGGACAAGCTTTTCTGCCTTATTTATTGAGGCTTTGATGGGGGAACAGTATATTAGTACCTACCTTCTGACCGCGGTAATTACACCTATCACTGTGTGTAGCTTGAAGTGGTGTTGATCATTTGCTCCCAGTAAAATTACGTACTACGGAATCGAGATTCTTTCCACTCGTGCTTATACAAACTAATGGTACACCCCATAACTGACCTTTGACCCGTCTGTACAGGGTACAATGAGTAATGTCCCATGCTTATATAGATGCAAATAAAGACAATAACTCTATGAGTTTTTGCTGAGCAAACAAACCTGCGAGAAAATGGTGGCATGCACTGAGAGAAAGATAGATAAAGACTGTCAGCATAAAGTGAACAGAATTAGAGGAGGGTAGAGGATGTGATAGGACTTCCACAGTCCTCACAATATGTAAACATCAGCTGAGAAGGGCCGAAAGTCAGCTGAGTGCGACATGGCGTATATGTGTGTTCTTTCAGCGGGGCTGTTGCTACCGACAACACGCAAAACGCATCGCGGTGGAGCCATTCTTTCAGCAGAAAAGCGAAATGCTCGAAATTTAGCGGAGTATGACAGAGTGTCGTATATATACATGTGTGTATGTATGTGTGCTTGGAGGTAGTAGTGGGGTGACTGGTTGTGCAGGGGATCGACCGGGAAGGAGAAAGGGACATTCGGAGTGGCCTGCATTGAAGAACGAACTGGTGTGAACTCGGTGAAAAATTCAATACATGAAGTAGGCAGGGTGCTGATGGTGTGGCGAGGAAGGGAAGCGGTAGGAGCAGGCAGAACTACCAAATGGGCTTTGCTTTCGACCTTCCATCCATGTAGGCAGCCGCCTCTAGCACGCGTTTGGTGTCAGCACAAGCAGCAGAGCTTTTTTTCTAAAAAAAGCTCAGAAATGCTTCGAAACAGAGCTCAGAGTTTGGATACAGCCAACTATCACCGCGTTTGCCTCCAACAAATGACATTCAAACCATAAGACTTTCAACAAAAAATCCTAAGAATTCACTGGAGAATGAAACTTCGGACCAAAAATGAAATTGTCTCCATTAATTACACTTGTAGATTATTCATTACCAGATAAAAGTTGGTTGAACAGAGATCTCGCAAAGTTTCCTCAGCAAACTACTTGCATCATTGACAAATCATCTCTTGCACAGGGTTCCGCTTGAAGGTACGATTCCAATATCACCGGATATAAAAATATTGCTAAGCGAGACGAATGAAATTATTAATGTTCAAATATAAGTGATTTCTAAAAAAAAAGAAAAAACCTGAAATTCCATGAATATTTGAATTCTCCTGTAGTGATACAATTCCACTCGGTCACCACTGAGCACTATTAGTCTCCCAATGAAAGCGACATCTACACCAATACCGTTTTACTAAAACTTCTAATTAAGCATTCAGTGCTAGGAAATAAAAGGCACAATTTTAATTGTAATTCAGATGGCAAAAAAAAAGACTGAAAAATGAACTATGTTAGTTTTTGACCGGTAAATGACTAAACTAACGAAAACTGAAATTCCTGGGTTTCCCACTTCTTGGTAAGTCTTCCAAAACAAATGCACTTTCCAAATGTATTTATTTCACCGTTTGATTATAGTCGCTCTTGTTTTGGTCATGTTTCGTTTCTTCAGGAGATGCCATAGTATTCCGGTTCTCATTTTTCCATATGTGTGAGGTATATAGGAACAGCTTGTTTTTATACACTGCCCACATATTTTCGTAGGTCAATCCTAAGTCAATCCCAAGGGCTGAAACACAATTAGATGTCCAGGGAAAATTATTCTCTGTCGTTAACTTGCACTTTTTTTTCTGCTGGAATCGAACTGGTGAAACTCTTTAAGTCCACCAGATGATGTATGATACAAAGTTCAAGATGCGATTTTCGAATCATGGATAATCACTTTTCCATTTCTTAAGTTAATCGACTTTGCTCCTAAAAATGAAAATACAATACACTGTTTTGCAGTATATGATCTATGCCCAAAGAGTACAGTTGCACTCCATCTGTCACATTGCATTCACCAATACTTATGCAGTGCATGTCTTACTCTATTTGTGAATACAAAATATAATAATCTTAGATTTCTGCATTGAGTTGAGATCCCGGAACTATTTCAGATTCCATTACTACCACCATCTTAGACATTTTTAGGGAAAGCTGTTAAAAAAACCGCAAAAGTTCATTTTGCAATTCTATAACTTAACATAAAATTCCATAAAGCATATCTAGTAAAATCAATTTTATGCCACAATATACGGTAGCTGTTACATATGATTTAGTAAAGAAACTTTAAACCTGATTTGTTTAAGACCGAGAATTTTGCCACTAAATTTAATTCAGTGAAAAAATGTGAGAAATCTTCTGATGAAAGAATATTTTCAAATATTTGATGTCGCAATGATAACGAAACTGTGGTGAAATATCATTTCTTGGTACCTTTTGGCTAATAGTTTTACCAGTGACTTTTTCTACAAAATCCAAGTAATGTTCAGAACTATTTAATAACTTAATAAATTGATGCGTTACAGTTACAAACAACACCGACTGCATCTAGCTAATATCAGATCAGTGAGTACTTTTTTTTTTGTGGATCAAGAGTATTTAAGAGATTATTCATTAGTAAATCGGTTATTAAAGGCAGAACCCTCAAATTAATCTTGTGATCTGTGTACACCTCATTTCTAAACAATAAGCCTGACTGCATAACTAAATTTATGATTCCTATGGAAACATTCTAAGTATAATCTATAACCAATATGGCAAGCAAGCACATATTTATAAGGGAATGTGTATAAGTATTTGTATAAGAGCTATGTAAAGGATATCTCACATGAATCCTCACAGTACACTTCCCGAACATATCTCTTTTCTGTGTTGGCTATATAATAAGGGTCCCAAGATAAATGCTGAAGGGTTTTACTCAAAAAACGAGCATGAAATGTTTGCTAACAATAGGTTAAAAAAAAATATCATACAGCGAGAACGTGGACAGTTTTGAAATGATGAATGATATATGAAGTCACACAAGGATACGATATAGCTGTTGTGACAAACTGTTAGGGGATGGTTCATAATGCATCAGTAAAAGCCACCTTCATTACACTTCCCTCTGAAATTTAATGCTCATACCACTATTACTTACAGCTCTTCTTCTTTTGCCATGTACCACACTACATGTCTGATTTTTAGGGCGCTAAATTTCACAATACCTGACATTTTGAATAAGTTACGAGACTCCGCCTACCTACGTGAACCTGAGCACGGCAACTATACCGCACTAATGAGATAGTGTATTTTCCAAAGTTTTGTCAACCAAAATATGGATTAGACGGAGTTGCTTTCATGGATGAAATCGTGAGTCTTCCAAAGAAAGAACGATATATTCAGTGTATAGGTGCGCCATTATCACAAAACACTGTATATTTTCACGAAAATGAATAAGAATTCGATACATTTCAGATTAATAAAGTATTAGTCCTCTTGGCCATTTGGCCATCTGCTGAATCCTTTGACTGAAGCAGACATTTGCATGTTTTAACGCTAGAAACATACAAACAAGCAACTTTCAAGGATGCGTTAAGATGCAGCTGTATAGAATAGAAGAAAGAGTACAAGCAATGTCTTATTAAAAGTATAAATCAAAGTTTCTTTAAGGATGAGGAGTTGGAAAAATGAGAAATGGAAATGATATGAAGAATGGTGTTCTATCATGTTCATATATGGTACCCGTGTAAGTAACAAGTTACTAGATAAAACGGTTAGCTACAACTATTGAAAAGTTTCAATGCAAGCATGGAGTTAAACCATAAGGATGGGAAGTAAAGACTGAACTATACATATATATATTGGGAATATATACAATAGGAAAAAAGGTTTAAGCATATTGACAATCCTCAGAAATGGATATAACGGGACAAGTGGAGAGTGTAAGCTGTCCGATTAATATCCACTCACTCTGGATCGAGACCCGAGTTGGAGCTGGCAACGGCGTTATCACACATACACGCATATATATGATATATGGTGGGATATATACAATAGAAGAAAACGCTTTTCAAAACACAATCTTTAAAATTAAAGTGTAAGGGACAAAAGGAGAGGTGTAAGCTGCATCAATCCCCTCCATAGTGAGCTATGGCTGAGACCAGAGCCACCAACGGTAAGAAACACACACCTCATGTAATTACTGCTCCTTTTCGAGATACAGCCATTATCCACGGTACCGACGGTATATGTATGATGCTCTCCCCACCCCCTCTCCAACTATTCGCTGCTGCTCCAACAACCTATAAAAATATCATTTTACTTATGTTTGTTCCGACGACATACCGACAAAGTGACACACACTACTAGACAACGACATCCATATGAGGCACATACGCCCGTACACATACACAAACATTCAAACTACCCGAAAGTATACATTTAGTAAAAATGCACTGTTTTTAGCCACCACTATAGCTACTCCTTCGAAGCAACAAAAAGCCCCAATCGATTTCAGTCTCATCCCTGCCAACATCATCGTCTCTTCCAGCAGCACTGCCACCACTACTCCTGCTGTCACCATTATCGCAACTTTCCCTACTTTTCTCATTCCAGACATACAATAGCATTATTACAGACAGTTATGTACCAGTAGAATGCACCATCATTAGGTTGCATTGTTGTATTGAATTATAATATCCCAGCGAGTAGTAGCAGTAGTAGAATAGAGTAAAATGGGTTGTGCACAGAAAGCGGTTACTTATTTCCTGATACAACTAGGAAACGAGAACTGATTCAATACTAAGAAAGTATGATTACGGAACAAATACATCATCCTGCTGGTCTTAGAGTGGAAGATAATGAGTTTACTAATCGTAGACCTACATATTATTGCATCATCTTAATGGTTAGACTTACATATTGATCGTATTTGATGATCGAAATAACAAATAGACAATAACTAGGACATTTTGTTTTATCAGAATCAGAATTACTTAATCCCTTCAGACGAGCATCGTCGACATCACTTTCACTGTAATACACTATCGCTCAATTGGAATCATCACGATTAACAAACAATGAACTTATCAACGCCTCTCTTCAAAATAGAAAATATATTCGTTAAGAGATTGAGAATTTATTTCAAAGAGATTTGATAAACACTCCTAACGGTATAAGCTCTTTCCCAGACAATGACGAAATTTTGCAAAATGAAGGGATTAAAGTTAGGAAGAGACCAACTTAAACTATGTTTCCCTTGCTAACAGACGAACAATCTGCTCCGTTTTGGAATTGTGTCTGTACATGTTTGCTAATGTATGCAAACAATATTTTATACTATTTGAAGTTCGCGAAAATATGAGACATCTTTTGTCCTAATTCGCATTTGCAAACTTTTTTTATTTGTCTTCAATGCCATCTTCCACCTATTGTAATGCAACTTTGTCATCTTCCCCAACTATGCTATAAATTTTCAGAAATGAATGGAATAAAGCAAAGGAAGCAAAAACTAATACACATGTGTATGGCTGCCTTTTGCTGCATCATATAGTTAAAGAGGGCAGCCAACGGCATTTACCTAATATATTTAATAATGTGAAGTCATAACAGAGTAACAAACTTCCATGTGATGCACTAAAGAACTGTTGTGCTCCTCCCGATTGTTTTTTTCTATTCATTAAAACTTTCCATATCATGAAAATAATAAGAGAGACATCCTAATCATCCTCATCGGAGACACATTTTTTTTCGGAAATAAAATATTTACTGTTGAATGGATACTTTCAGATATCTTTGCTGGAAAAACCCAATACCAGACATAGTGTCAAATGACCGCTCAATAAAATTAACTCTCCTTTGAGACATCGACTATTGACTTTACATTTTATAAAATCAAGCAAATATAAAGCTGTTACTGTAGTTTACTAACGCAAAGCGTCTATAACCACAAAAGAATGTGTGATAATGCAACGAAACAAATACTCAACTGAATGTAACCTAACCTAATCCATATTAAACTTTCACAAAACAGAATGATCATCCTGGATAAAATATAGTTCGACCACACTAGAACTGAAATACGAAAACAATCAACTAGCAATACACTGAAATCCAGTATCTGCGATTTCAAATTTACTGAATGAACATCGTTATCCGTTAATAAAGTGCACAAAAAAGAATTATCACTTTCCCCTTTATTTTCCCTTCCTACCCATTACACTCTGTACCAATCAATAATTAATAAATCTACAGTACATAACCAAACTTTACATCGCAAACATATCAATCACAAAAATTCAAATCAAAAAACAGCGGGACTATACTCAAAATGACAGGAAAAAGTGGTTCGCTGAAAGTGTGAACATACGCTTTAAAAGTTACTAATTATTAAATACTTTTTCGCCATGACCAAAGCTTACAAAGCACATGGAAATAAAAACTTGTTGAAAAAGATGCCATTTAATTCTTATTCAAGGAGGAAAAAAATTGGAGATTCGGATGCTAAACATTTTATAAGATTCGATTCAAAATATCAAATATGCAAGATCGTGATAATGAACAGTCAGCTGACGAAGTACCCGCAATACAAAGAACAAGCAAAATTTTACAGACAAATCACAAAATTGAGCAGAAATTTAGGAATGAATGTTGAATTTTTAATGGATTTTTGAGATATTACCTTGACTGGTATCAGGAGAATTTGGATATCGACACAATTTTCAGAAGTTTCCGTGCGAAATGAAGTTGTTTAGAGCGTCTGGAAAACAGAAAAAATGTTTTAAAAAATTTCTTATTAAGTGACATTGCTCCAAAATCATTACAATAAAGAAGTACATGCTATTTATAATTCACCTTCACAAAACCTTAAAAAGTTTAGATCATGGCAAAATCCCGCAAATTACCTTCGTATTAAATGTTGAAAAACATGAGAATGTTCGTAGCTGGGAGACTGAATCAACTTCAATAATGTGATATCGTTCCTTATCATGACAGCAATCTTTTGCAAACGTAAGTTGTTCTTTTTAATGCATAAAGACGAAAAAGAACAAGAAAATAAGGCCAACTGCCAACGCAACTCCCTTCGACATCTCGTCACGATAAACGCTATCAAATTTGGCACCGTAAGTGGAACTAAAGCTGGAAATCGTGACGAAGACGATTTCCTGAAAAGTAAATAAATGATTCGCTGGTGAAATAAATAAATTAATTATAGTTATGAAGGCTCTGACCAATAATTCTGATACGAAAAAACTGTTGACCTTTCTGCAGGGAAAAACAAAACCGCAGGCAATGTATCCATTTGAAACTGCCACGGTAGATCGTTTAACGAAACATCAATTCTAAAAAAAAATTTTTTTTTTTTTTTTTAAGAACTTTGGGAGCAATTTCAAGTGCATAAGGGAACGAATGATAAACCATACATGAAAAATTTAATCAATTTAGGAAATGGGTGAAAGTAGTGGGCCACTGAATGATAAACATGAATTACGGAAGCACTTGGTCCATGCCAATTTCCGCCAGAGAAAAACACTACAGCATCCTCAGACGAGTTCTGAAAAAAATATGTCACAACATTTTTAAAATATTAAATACAATAACAACAAGTGCGCCAAGCACTATATTTTTTGAATTATTTAGAATCAATTGACAAGCTTAAAAAGCATTTCCAAGAAGACATCTTCTGAACTAAGTTTATAAAAAAAGAACTTCGTGCGAAATTAAAAACTAGTATAATAAAAGAAGAAAAGAGTCTAATATGCTTACAATATCCCTTCTAAACGATTCTGCAGTAGAATTCGGTAGAATAGACAAATCATCATGTTTCGAAATGTTCGGTTCCTTCTGTGAAGCCTCGGAAATCACGTGCGGTACCAACGAGCCATTGTGAAATGCGCGCAAAAAGTCACGAAAAATATGCCTAAAAATCTTCAGAAAATGTAAACATAAATAACAAAATTACCATATTGACCTTACCATATTTACTGAATACCAGAAGTACTAGGAATGAGATGCAAAATAATAATGGTCAGGTCATTATACACAACAAATTTGAACAGCAAATAAATGTAATGGAGCGTTAGAGGTTATCCTACCTGGAAAACTCGTTTCGCATAAAAAAAGTCATTTCAGTACCAGGGTCTACAATCAGCGCGGCAATCTGTCCATTGTATGGTTTCCTCAATCGCTTTAGTATATAATCACCATACCGACCATCAACACCAACAAACCTGAGTTTTTGACAATACATTCAAAGCTAATTTAAGCTATGTAAGAACCACTGAAACCAACCGACCTTTTAAAAACGTCATAACTAAACTATATTCTTCAAATGTAAGTTCCAACCAGTAAGCATAGATAAGAAACAAAATGCACTAAAAATAAATAACCAAAGCCTAGGGAAAATAAGCTTTTCAACAGAAGAAAATGAAGTGATAACCCACCAACCGTAGAGAATTATTTTTATCACATGAAAGGCCCGTAACCGATGTTGCATCAAACGGGTAAGAAGTAGATGAGGCTGAATCAGAAATACGATTATAAAGGTTCCGAGCAAGCCTATATTTAGCACATTGTTCAGATGTGCCTTGTAACACATCCAGTTTTTGATTTTTTGAAATTAAAAATGCACAGCAATCACTCAACAGTTGCTCTGAAAATACACCTTATTCCTTTTTTCAAGATCTTGTAATTCCGAATTCCTTTAAAATGCAGGCGGTTTTTTGAATATTGACTACAACGAATAAAAACATAAATGTAGTGTGACACGCTGCATCTGCTGATAAAATAATCTGAGCAGAACAAACCTTCACCTAATGCCGAAAGGACGGATAAACAAGGCACATTATGAAACAATGACGAGTAAGTATTATAAAAGAATAATGGAAGTTGACTGCAACTTCCATTTTCCGAAAAATTGATTCCTTTTTTGGAGTGACACTGGAAACAACGAGACGTTAAAGAAGTTTTCTCTGTCATGCAGCATTTTCGAATCTAAAAGTGTTTGCATCTCGAATGAGTCAATCAATGAAACCTTAAAAATCAAAGAAATACATTTCCGGATAAAGAAATGGAAATTCATAAATACCAATGAAGATAAGATACCTCCACAGCACGAACATCCATTTTCTGGCATTTATGATTACTTACTGCAATTATTCGATTACTTTCATTAAGCAATGCATCAAGTTTGTATGATCTAGATTTCATTTGATTTGTTAAGTTTGCACCACATGCGTAATATTCCATAATGGTCTAAAAAAGATCATGAAGAACGGCTCAATTAATACTTCTCGAACTAGTAACATCCCACTCCGATTACAGCATAGTTGTCAAACTGAAGAACCAGGTAGAATCCGGGAACAAAATATTGCTAATAATAACAAACTTATCCTCCAAAACTCTTTTCTTTTTGTTTCTATCCTTTTTTTTTCGTTTAATTGAAAAAAAAGGAGTTATTATCAATTCATAAATCATTAGCACGGGGCCAAGAAATAAGAAATCAATACCTTCCTTTTCAGATCAAAACATACAGTGTTTTGATGAAATGATGTTTTGCAAGTAATAACAGATTTGAAACTCACAACAAAGGTTTTAATAATACTTCTTCAAGATTCATTAAATTTCAAATACCTGTCTCATCACTGAAATTGCCCAGCTATGAGGGTAAAGTACCTGACGATCTACAAACATCACAACTGTTGCATGATGTTGCAAAATTGATAACAACTCTTCACTTTTTGCAATACCATTCATTTCTGAAACAAGAAACTTTGAAAAATGACCACCTCGAGTTCTCTAAGTTTGAAACAAAAGTGTAACGATAGATCATAACCTGGACTAATCCACTGAAGGCTATTTGATTTACGCACTTGGTTTTTGATCCAGTCGAAAATTTTATAAGCAGTCATATTTGATCCATTATAGTTGAAAGTAAAGTTCCAGGATCTCAGCTGAATCCACACCCTCGGTGACGAATTTAAGCTCATTGCTAAGCTCGAATTTGTCACAATGGCGAAACCAACCTTATCGAGCAAATTCTCTGCAAACATTCCATTAATGTTACGTGTAAAAATGTGCAGTTCCAACACAACTCTTTCTGTAACTAAGCATCAGATATGAAAAATACGGATATTCAAATCGGTACCAAGGAACTCTACTAAAGGAAAAATTCATCAGAATAAATTGGGGTTTTTCTTAATAAAACTTTCATACTCAAATTCATGAAACTCGAAAGAAAATGGAACCTGATTTCAAAATAGTCAGAAAGAGGCAATCGGTTTTAATCATGAGGAAAAAGAACCAAAATTTAGGAAATCTGCACGGAGTTACAAATCAGTAAAAATCTAGAGATAATTTTTCCCTGACAGAAGGAAACATACGACGTTGGAAAACAATTAATGCTGCTTTAATATACTGCTGAAATTCATATGATACAGCAAATGCGACCTGAAAGAAAAGTATGAGAGTTCTTACAAATTTACTATAAAAAAGGAGATGAAAGTTTAAAATTTTGAAAAAATTGACCTCTGCATGGAAAAATGCAATGACTGCATCATCAAATTCGTCAAGAAAGCTATTCACAGCGACCGGACTTATAAGTCGACGAATAGGGTTTCGCAAATGTGATATCCATCTAAAATAATAAATATTCGAACAGTTTCGCATAGCAGAAGATTACAGCAAACGAAAATGATAGAGGTTAAAATTTTTTTACCTGTATATATAATCTGGTGCCAGTAAACCAGTATACATCAAATTTTGCTTTCCGATATAAGCAACAATAACTGGATATGTGTAGGTTTTGTGAGATTTTCTGCATTCCCCATGGGGAAAAAAACAATTAACTGCTGCGAATGATATCTATACAAAAATATTAAGAAATTTTCATAGAGTGATAAAATTTTTAAGTTCAAATTTTTTTCCCGAAAATTTTTTCAAAGGAATAAATTAGACACTAGTTTTTAATATGCAAAATAATGATTAAATATTTAATGACCGAACAGATCTGCCAACCCTATTTCTAAGACTAAAAAAAAAAACAAAAAAAAAAAAAAAAAAACAAATAAAAAGTGATAACTGTGCCGAACTGACATAGTAAAAAGCTTTTCTTGATGTAACTCTCTTAATTCAACTCCCTTAATTTGATGTAACTCTCTTAATTCACATTCCCAGCAAAGAAAAAGTTAACAGCAATGTTGCAAAGTTCGGTTGCTTTACAACATGTAAATAAGGAAATATTACGAGTAACAAAAAAGCTAACATCAGAAGACGCGCTTAAACTTCTTGCAACTTTCTCGAAAACTACGCGTGTTTTGATGCATCTTCTGCTCCACGGTGCATAATACATAACAACAACAATTTCAGATTTATATAACAGATGCTGTGGTTCGGCATCATTACCAGTATAATAATCAACAAGATATTTCTTCGAACTGGGTGGAAAAAACGGTCTTGGTGGAAATGATTCTCGCTGACTTAACTGACCATTCGAATTACTAAAACGCTAACAGAAAAAAAGTTAAGACTGTAGATGATTTTTCAATACTTAATGAGAGAGATTTAAGGCATACCAGAAGGCATCGAAATTCAGTAATAGTATAGACAATACAAGCGATGAAAGGAGTGAGCGCATATTCAAATTATCAATAAATTTTCTGCAAAACTTTCCTGCCCATTTGTCACATCCCAAACCTATAAATCCTATACGCTGTTACTAATTTTATTTTATTCACTAGACAAAACTTGAGAAAAAACAACTATTTTCAAGTTAATGTCCACCTTTAGCAATACTTTTCTGCGTAACCAAATCACTGTTGCAATTAGCACTGTCTGAAAAATGATAACCGTTTTTATGCAACACTTAAAGTACCGTTGAAAATCTCTCCAAATTCTCAGCACTTTGATGACCAGTTTTTTATGAATGCAAAACGACCAAGTTAAAGACTTAAAATGGTCAAAAAATTATCAATTATGATTAACATAATGATTTAACAAGTTAGGAAATAAGGAAGGAGTACCACCTGAAATACAAATACATTCACCAGGGTTGCACGGCATTGGATGTCATATCCATCAGTGTCTTAACCAATTCAGTGACATCCGTAAAGTTTCTGCAATTATAATGATCAGTTCCATTATGTCTAACCGTTGTCAGTTTTGAATCAGCAAAAAGATGACAAAAGGAAAGCTTATGCATCATTTATTCCATATTTAAATATAATGTATATTGTTTCTTCACTGCAACAATTCGAAACATTATCCTCACATGCATAATCTAGCCCAAGACTCATAACGCTCCATTTTACTCATATATTAGTCAATAGCGTGGTTATCTGAACTATCTAAATTTTTAAAACTTTTTATTATCTATGATTAAACACTCTCATCAATTTCTCCATAGCTATTTAAACACTTGAAGCCCAACCATTAACATGAAATTAGTTTGTGATTTCGCCTAAAGTACATAGTTCATAAAAATGACGACTACTGACTCTCCTAATTATCCCGAGGGATTTATTTAAAATTCCATGCATTACAAACGTGAACAATCAGCAAGAAACAACTTCACTGCACCACATGTAATAAAACTATGTGATGAACAACTGTACTACCTCCGACACCACGAACACCATATATCTCCATTTAATAACATGGCCCCCAAATGCAATTGCTATCTCCACATTACTTCTTAGTACCGCTTCACTTTGCATTTCTTAGACGTACGTTATTGTCCCTACCCGTCAGATCTCTTTATGAATTTCATGTCCAAATTTTAGTCCCGTATCCAATTACCATCCTGAATTGCAGTTAGTGTTAAACAGATCGATCAAGTATAAAACTTTTGATAATGCTCTCTATTACAAATTTTTGTTTGGACTTCTCACAGCCACTTAAACTCCTTGATCGTTTCTTTATTTGATGTAAAATGTCATATTCTTAATTTCGCGTGTCTTAAATAGTCTTCATATTATAGTAATGTATCACTATACTTTACTATAATACGAAAGTAAGAAATGACAATAGAGGCGAACTTGAAAGATTACTGAATAGGGATATCCTTCACTTTTATTTTGATTCTAATTTTCAATTACAGTTCCAGTCGTACGAATATATATCTAGTGCCTAATGAAAAGTACCGTCCATTTCTCTATCTACTCCAGTAGTTCAGTGAATTCATATTTTTTAAATGAATCCCAAGTCTTCTAGAGCGTTCTGGCCTTCGAAAACTGTAATATTTGACATTGTGAGTATTGGGCGTTTTCCAATAGTAAACGGTGTAAATTCTTCCTCAAAAATTGCTACTTTAAAGCATAACCGAAGTAAATTGTAAATAAGTATACCGAGTAAACAAATTAATGCTTGAAAAAGAAGCATCACGAAGGATATGGATTGAAAGGATGATTAAATACAAATAAGAAAAATGAGTATAAATGAGCAGAAACAAGCGGACTTGTTTTGTGCAAAGTTCATTAAAGGATCAGTAAAGAGGCTATAAGAATAATACGTTGGAAAAGTAACAGTCAGAAGACAGCATTTTATTATTCAAAAAAAATTTTCCGCTAAAGTAGAGATACATGATCACATGATTGGCATCATCCTTTTTTTTTTTGCAAATCTTATCCCATTTTTTCACAAAACTTCATAAAGACAGTTCTTCTTTCCATCAACTTGATATTAACATCGTCCATCCACAGTGCTATACACCTCAGAATTATAATGAAACACTTCAAGTTAACGTCAGTTTAATCCTTTTTGATATATGATTTATGAATTTATTACAGAACTTATTGGCACAGAGGAAATTCATTTGAATAACTGTAAAAGAAATGACAGCATTATAAGCTTAAAATACATTAAAATGTAACCCTGTATTAATCACCACTTTTTGTCACAATCATTACCAGAACTAAGCGTCTGATACACAAGATGATAAAGGACGACGGAAATATCGAAGTTATTGATTGCTCTAGTGACTTCACTATAAATCACGACAGTAACAGGATCAGCCACTAAATAAGACAACTGGATAACTTCCTGCACGTCTTAAATTAGATCATCTAAAGGTCGAAACCAAACCTCGAGTCGTCTTACATTTTATCCACAACCATATTTAAAGAATTTTCATGCTTCCAGTAACATTCTGCACTAATTAATGATGTACATTTTTATCTTACAGACATATATCATTGGCTAGCAATATTCGGTTCTATGAATTTCAGAACTCATTAAACAGCGGTCACAAAGTGAAAACTCCAACAATGATTCCGATGATGCCAAAAAATTCTAGTCACTGAACAAGCATGCAGTCGTATTAACTAGGATTTCGACAATTTGTCAACTCAACAATTAGCGCGTATCATAAGCATAACGCGATTATTCATGAACATATGACATCACACAATGCAGATCAATCCATGACGGATGACTTTGCTACAAAATCACTGTATTGGTAATAACTGTAACTTTTCTGAATTTGATATACACTACAAATAAAACTACATGGGCCAGAATAACTGAATCAACAAATGTGGTCGGGTTGAATGTTCGTACAAGGTCATGCAGAGTTCGCAATTTGTTTTCCAGGTTAAAATCCTGGTTCATTAATATAAACTGTTTCTGAAATAAAGTTGCAATGCAGAAAATATCCCAAATTGTTTCGTCAAACAAAAAATTTACCGTAAAAAAAATGCGTGAGGACTTACGTCAAGGACGAAACCATTTTGGTACAAATAGTCGGATAATTTTGCATCTTCACGAGTAATAGAGGGCATGTATTCTTGCTGGAAATCACGTCGCCAATAGTCTTTAGGCCACTTATTCCTGCGGTAAAATCACTGTGAAACATTCGAAGAGAACTTCGCATAAAAACATCAATAAAATATAACTTACTTCAAATTGATGGTGGTATAATGATAAAGGTAAAGATCTGCTCGGATAAATTTTGGGAGCTTCTCTTCAAAAGGATACTTTTTCATGAGGTAAGTAACTGAAAAACTTTTTATTGGTCCTAATAAAATCGCAGTTCATAATATCTAACGAAGTACGAGAAAATATGATAGACCGAAAACTATACATAAAACTATAACCAATAACTTTAATTTTAATTTGTACTCTATACTCGATTGTGTTTTTTTTCAAATTAAAACAAAAAAAAAATACTTCACCTTCTGAATTATTTCGTAACAAGTGATAAGTAAGAGAAAGAAAGAATGCATTATTATGATACGTTCCTAAAGCAGCAAACCACATTTGCCAGTCCAAACGTGGTTGATGCGGCACTATAAAAGAAAACTGTCATCATCTGTTTGTTACGCAAATTGTGAGCTGTAATAACTCATAATTAAGATCGTATTTGAAAGTTTTCACAGCAAAATCAATGTCAGTATTAGGCTTTTAGAATATCCGTTTTACAATTCAAACAGAAAACAATACCTGACTTCAAGAAGCAAAGAACTATATTACTAAAAAATCATATAAATCTCTCACATACGAATCGTGGTCTTTCGTTGAGTTTTCCAGGCTTTGAATAGAAATCAAACATAGTCCAAGGGCCATTCAGTTCGTAAGAACCTTCTAAGATTATTTCCGGTCGACCGGATAAACCGGTCATCCTGCAATTCCATTTCATTTAAAGTTTTCTCATAACTAAACGAAAAATGATATAAAATGCTTTTGATTAAAATCAACTGAGAAAGGCGGCTCACTTTCTAAATAATCCGTATGAATGAGTCAGTTCGTAAAACTCCGAATAATGATGCATATACTTTACAACAGTAGGAATTTGTGCTTGTCCCCGATTACTTATAACAACAAATGATACCTGAATCCATAGGTATTGAAATAATAAAACTGCCATATTATGAGACTACTAATGCTAAAAATAATAATAAGTAATAACATATAGAATCTTGTATGCCTGAGAAAAAATCACAACTGCTTTTGAAACTTCAAAATATAGAGACCACAAAATTTTTGATGAGTTTTCAATGTATATCCCAGTAAAATGATTGAAATGTAGAACGTACGGTACTGATTGAAAAGAAGAAACTCGCAATGATGATTACATAAACCAGATGGAGTAATGAACGTAACTTTGATTCATGAATTTCAGTGAAGTACCTGAGTTTCAGGAAATTTAGAAATGATTATCAGTTTATGTAATTATGCTTGATGACAGAATTCAAGATAACCTACCGCAGTATTGCGGCAATAACTTCAGCAAGGAAGCCAATAACTCCGATATGTAATAACCAAACAGTCGACTCTTCAACAAATTCGTCAAACTGTTGCATAGTGAATCCTAAAAAGCTCTAGATTTTCAGTAATTTTACCTAAGAGTTTATATTACCATAGCATGATAAAATTCGTTAATTTTATACAAAAAATAAAAAAAAACAAAGACTCACCAATTGAAGACGTTATTTTAAAACCATCAATATCAATATTAAAATAGTAGACGAAAAAATATAAAGTTGATGCTATCAAAACAGCTGACATTATTGTTCCTAAATGTGTCGATAAACGTTGAAATCGTGGGTATATGCCCTTTGTAGCTGAAAACTGAGCTTATAAGCAAATATAAAACAATAATTGAAGAACAAAAATAATTAACAAACAAAATAACATCTTTTACTTATCCAAACCATTCTATTCATATCAGTGATTCGAATGACCTAATTATGACATTCGAATTTGGAGACACATTTTAAAAACTATTATAATGCTGAAAATTATACCAATTCGTGGCTATTATTGTTCATTATCAACTTTATATCGAAACTATGGAAATCAAATACTTACAAAATTTGAATTCGTCTGAATCTACCAATACTGCTACACATTCGACTGATATAAGAAGGTTGAAGAAGTTGTAGTTACCCGTTGCCATAATCAAACTCATAAGTAAGATCTTTAAAGCAAAAAAATTTCTTATGGAAATTAAATTAAATAAATGGCAGAAAATTTATCTAAGCAAACCTGAGGACCGAATGAAAAATATCGTGCATATTTGAATGGTAATAAAAACAAAGGAGGTAAAATAATTTCAATATAGAGTG